GGAACTCTTTAGAAAACTCTTTTTTATGCTCGAAACTATTTGAAAACTCTCCTGGAAAGGCCAGAACTCTAAGATCTTGATGGCATCTCAAGTCGGTACGCTTATTACTATGTTATCATTAATCTTCTTTTTAATTATAATCATTCTTTTTTGCTTTTATGGAGCAGAACTCTTTATGGAACACTCTTGTGGAACTGTAAATTTGGCGAAATCTCACAATGTATGGGCGCACATTGTCCACGTAGGACAAAGTGAGACACGCAGCGTGAAGCTGGCTGGTCTCAGTTTGTTCGAAGCGGTTCTTTTGCTTGAACCTATCAGGAACTATAAGAACTGTTAGAAAAGAAGCCAGAACTCTCAATAGATTGTGACTTTCCACCAAATGAGATGCCACACGCGACAACTATTCGGAATTCGCCAAAGTTTCGTGAAGGTGAATCAGCAGACGGCGCCGCGGCCGCTTACTCCCGCTCGTCGCGCGTTCCATCGTTTGACTAACTATACGCCGTTGGTTTCGCTCAGCATTGCGTAAACGTTGCGCGCTATCGTAACGTGGAAAGGTCAGTGTCTGTTTCTCCCGGCGTGACGCGATCGTTCGTTCGCTTGTTCACGCGCGACACGGCGCGATTCCCGAAATATCCGCGTCGGCTGGAAAGAGTCGGTCGAGGAAGATCGACGACGACAATCGTCGTCGTTCGGCCTTATCCGTCGGCTCTCTCTCTCTCTCTCTCTCTCTCTCTCTCTCTCTCTCTCTCTCTCTCTCTCTCTCTCTCTCTCTCTCTTTTCTCTCTCTCTCTCTCTCTCTCTTTTCTCTCTCTCCTCTCCCATCCGCCCCCTCTTTCTTTCTTCTCCTTTTCGGCTACTTTATATAGCCGCGGGATAATTTACGAATGCTGATGTACGACGGAACGCGCGAGAGAACGCGTTGTTTTTTGCGTGACATGAAACCACCGGTTTGTGAATGAGGAGGAGCGAATGCAATGACCGCGTGCTCGGGTACTTTTTAGCGCGTTTTTTCCAGGTATCATGACGACGCGGAAGGCTGTGAAATAAAGCGGCTATTAATGGGCCCGCGTGCATGCGTCGCGCGTGTATGTGCGTGTGCATATTTTGTCACACGTCCTTATCTGTGTATTTTCATTCACATTTTCGCCGATCGATCGGCGAGCGCAATGAGCCGGCTTTTGTCCGATCCTCATCCCGTATTTAGGGGTAAACTTGAATAAGATGACCGTACAAAAGAGGAGAATCTGCAGTAATTACTAAACAGTAGTTTTTTCGTATAGTCATTCTCGAAGATAATTGATATTCACGGTGGTTTATGTGCGTGCACTAATAATACGAAATAACAACATTGGGAATATTATATCGTGGCCTGAATCTTACCCGAATTTATTTTAATTTATGAATCGCACATCGAGCGAACGCGTGTATCCTTCTAAATTTGCGCAGTTCCTAATACATAGACTCGTACACGATTTGTGTGTGAGACTAATTTTTTAAATAATCGGATATATCATTATCATCTTCATTTCTAGCGTGAACTTTGATTTCCAGTAGAACTGTCCGTGCACGTAAACTTGTTAAAAAAACGTCGGTCTTAAAGGCCGATATTAGAATCAGGGAAGATAAAGGAGTGCGAGATAGCAGCGTCTATCAACAATCGTAATCAACTCTCGTTTTAATCCCAGCGATACCAAAGCGGAAAAGTGGAACGACAAATATTAATTATCCGTGATAAGATAGCAAAACATTCGACACTAGTACTAGTAGTACGTAGATATAAAGTATTTTTGAGTACACACACACACACACGCACTATATATTTTGAATGAACAAAGTGCAATGACTTTTCCCGGCGTGAGAATTCAGCGTCGAATATCAAATCTCCCCTGGATGAATTTGACTATCCAATTTCCCGAGGCATTCGCGTTTCGTTTTTCACCCTGCGTGTTTCCCGATCCGCTTGCAAATTAGCGAAACGCTACGGGCTCGATCGGTCGATCGGCTGTTCGATCAGGTCGGTTGGTTGGCTCGAAGCCTCGACACTGGAGGCCGTAGAATCGAAAACGACGGCGGGACCAGGCCAATTGACAATGTCTGGGTCTGTAATTAAGTTTGCGTTGGTGGTAACGTCATTACTTGGTAAGCTTGCAATTTCCTCGTGGCTGCAGCTCGCCGCTGCCGCTGCCGTCGTCGTTGTCGTCGTCGTCATCATCATCATCGTCACCGTCACTACTCTCGTCGTCGTCGTCGTTCTCGACTCCAACCGGTTCCCTCCGTGGCGCTTCGCAGTCGTCGGGAAGCTCGCTTTTCTAGTCGACCGAACGAGGGAGCGCGCGAGCGAGCAAAGAGCAAACTCGTCGTTCCGCTTGTAACCGGAGGAAGAAAAAGGTGCGAGCGGAACGGAAGGAGGGACAACGACGGGAGGGAGATGGGACGGGATGGAAATTGTCCCTATTTGGATAAGTTGTACTACCGTTTTGTAATGGGGCATTAAAGGCGACACACGCGGAATTTCTACCGACATAATGGTCGTGTTTGAACGTGCTACGTTTGAACCGCCTCGCGGAGAAACCCGTGACGATATTTTTATATTGTTCGCTCCATGCGTACCTGGTTGCCTGCGTAGCTGGTATCACATTGGACGCATTTTTAGCGTGTAAGGAACCGCGCTGTAACGGCGTAACGATAAACACCTCGCGATAAATCTGGGAACGATAGATTACATATTCTCACAATTGAGTCTCAAGTCTTAAAATTCTCCTAACCCTTTGATGCCCGACTTGTTTACAAGCGTTTTAAGACTAAAATTTGAGCTTTGCTGAACTGAGACTATAAGTAGTGATAACCGAAAAAAATATCAGAATTTTACATCTACGAAAAATTACCTTTACCAAGCAGAAACTACTCCCAGAAGCGAAAAATGGCCGCCTGATCGGTTAAATTTTTTTTTTGTTTAATTTTAATAATTTTATATCATACCTAATGGTTGGAAAAATTCCTCGAAACATAAAACTCATATTCAGAACTTGATCTTTATTTATCCGGAATGGAATATATAATAAATGAGTATATGAAGTTCCGCTTTTCGTTTGTTGGTTCGTTGGTTTGGTTTTTTTTTGTCGTTCGTTTTTTGTTTATTGGTAAATATGACTTGGATCCTAAAAGCATGTACGAAATGAGCAATCTATGCAGAGAAAAATGAAGGGTAATTTATACGACATAACTCTGATAGTCAGCTTGACATTTTTCAGCTGAAACTTTACTACATTTGTGTGTGAGTGAAGTTTATCATTCAGATCATGTCAAGCTTACTATTTCAGAAGAATATCTTATAGATCACCATTTAGATAGTCAATCGTCCCTTCATTTTTCGCCGCATAAAAAGGGCTGTAGGTCACCTCAGGTTTCACGAAAATAGCTTGATTTCTTGATTTTCGTGTTCACCATATTGGATTCGCCATTTTGAATTTCTGAATCTCTGTTAATTTCACATTTTGCATCTGAGAAAGCTTCCAAATGTATAAAATTATAACAGATACCAATCTATTCATTTATAGTGCACTTCTAGATGTCAGTAACAATGCTAACTATGCTTACTTGGAATTTGACAAAACATGGTATCATTAAAACTGAGCTAAAAACAGACTAAACCGAATCCACATACAATCTATATATCACTTTTTAGAAGAAGAATTCACCTTTACAGTGGCGCAAAGAAAACGAAAATATCTCCTTTTTTGACTAAGTTATGGATTCTTAAATGCGTTTCTATAGTTAACTATAGTTACCAGTAGGCGTTAAAGGGTTAAAGTAGAATGTATTTTACGAAAAATATGTATCAAATATTTCGCTGACCGTCCTTCCCTCGGTTCCAACTCTAAACGAAAACTGTAGATACCACGAGACTTTTGTATGTATTCTGACAGATGCGCAACTGCTTATCACCTGCGCTCTAAATCTTTTTGGAAAATCTGAAATCTGAATCTTGCTTCTTTCGTGTTTATCTCACGTAGAATTATCGTTTATTTTTAGCATTGTTTCTCCACTACAAACCTCCTTGGCCAATGCAAATAATGCTTTACTTTCACACTACAATAAAATACTTACGGTATCTGCAATTTTCGTTTAGAGTTGAAACTAAGGAGAGAACAGACAGCAAAACATTTTATATTTTTGGTTGGTACGTAAATTCTATTTTGATAGAATTTCAAGATTTGAGATTTATTTTATGAATATTTTTTAAAAGATAAAAATGTGGTGACTTAAAGATTTTTCGGCAATGTGCGGGAAGAATCATCAACAATCCTAGTTAAAATTGAATATCTCTCATTGGACATCTCCCTAACCACGAGATAGTGTAATTTTGTGCCTAACATCACTATTAATAGTAGAACATTCACTGCTCCTAGCGACTAAATGGTTAAGTAAAAAAAATTATAATTATGAGATGATAAATCATAACCAATTACCATAACAAAACGTTCATTTTTGTTCTTTGCCCTTTCTTAAATAAGACGATCTTAATTTCAATTTGCTATCTAAGTTTAAAGCATTAGAGCGACCAGGATATACAAGGCGTGTTAAAAAAAAGTGGGTTAGTTATTAGTATATAATTATATCCTTTTCGTTAAGACAAACAGAAAAGTTCCTATAAATATGATGCTTAAAAGTAAAAGAATTAATTTTCATGCTAACGTATGGTAATATACGCAAAATAATATCGATTGAAATGCTTTTCAGAAATTAAAAGATAAACGAAAATGAAAGAAGATATTCCAAATAAAGAAGAATCAAACGTTTATGCTCTTCAACACAAAAACGTATTTAAAAGGATGTTGAAAATGACGCTCCCAACTTCAATACGCGTGTAGCCGCGAGGGATTCAAAACTTGTACAAGATGGGCAAGGCTCTTCATAGATGCGCCTCCTCCTGACAACGTTTTCCAGTGCGCAATTTCCTCGAGTAAAACCACCGCTCTGTCTTTGTGTTGCAGTGGCGTCGCAGCCTCATGCGAATGCAGCAGCAGCGGCACAAGCGACATCACGGAACCGGGTTCTCCGTGCAGCACCAGCAGCGACGAAGGGGTAGCGATACGCGGCACATCCGCCAGTCCACTGCCGTCCCTGCCCAAGCTGGCGGCGTCGTCGCAGGTTGGTACCAGGCCCCAGTGGCCCTGGACCCCACCGTTGGCGGCGACCGCCTGTTCTACGTACAAGAGGCTGAGGGGCGAGCCAGAGGCTGGCGCCCTCGCCCGTTCCGGAGTCGCCGCCGACCCCACGTCCAGAGGGGCCGCCAAGGGGAACGGGAAGAACACCGGTGGTCAGCATCATCACGAGTCGCAGGGAAAGATTACGGAGTACTTTAAGACCCAGATCAAGCCGCAGCAGCAGCCGAAGGTTGGTACGAAGCTCGAGACGAAGTCTGAAATCCCGAGTTCGAGATGATCAAAAGTGGAATAACGCATGAGGAAGTAGCGTATGCGGCGGTCGGAGGTATAAATAACAAGATAATTCTCGAAAATGACGCAATTCAGCGGATTTATACGAAAGGGTCTCTCTGCTTGTCCCGATAGTCCAAAGTGAATCTTAATGATACGTTGAACACCACGAGAGGACCACAAAGAGTACACTAAAATAGTATTTTATAAAGTCGAATCTTTGCTTGGGGAGTTACTTGACACTTAACGACTTAACGGCGCTTGATCGGCGGCTCCGTGGAAGTCGAGTAAAGAGAAATAGCACCGGCGAAAGAAAACGCTTCCTCGGTGGAAATCACGCTCGTAGCGGAAGTGCTGGAAGATATCGACCCGCTTCAGACGCGGACACTTCAGATACAGACCCGCCTTATCGGGGAGCACACATTTATCGGATATTGAATTAGTCTTTTTTCTACTTGCTTTTTTTCACGATTGCCCGTAAAGCGGTTTTCCTGTAGATTAATTCGCGGAATCTGCTTATCCTATCGATCGACGATTTAACATGGCGCGCACGTTCTCGCCCGATTCGCCCGATTCGCGTTCACACCCAACACGTGCATCCCCGACGCTGATCGCGTCCGCTTGGCGGCTCGTACGTGTTAAATATTGAATAACACAATCGAAAATTAGGCGATGTGGGGAAAGAGAAATCATTACTTATACGGCAAGCACTGACGCGAACTAGGTAGGGTAAGAGAGGCAGGTCGCGAGTGGTAAGTTACCTGCTTTTACCATCTTCGCCTCTTTCCCGCTAAAGAAGAAGTAATTTACTACTCGATTGCTTTCACGCTGATTCGATATCAAGCTGTGGCGGCGTCCTAGCTTAACAAGATAAACAGCGTTAAAGTATCGCTGTCACGATCATGTCTCCTCGTTGACAGATCAAGAAAACAAGCGAGACGATGTCGGTGCTGGTAGCCAAGAGCTCCTCGGAATTCCGAAGACCGCCTGTAGTGCAGAGGAACAAAGGCGGTCTCGCGAAATACTTGGGTACCGTGTCGGCCAATAGTCGCGGGACCCCGACCAACGATTGGGAAGCTCGAACGCTAACGACGACGCCGCCGACCACGAAGAAGCCGCCGTTGGTCGTCGTGCCAAGGATCAACGGCAAGTTGGACAAGAAGCTGCCGAAACCGCTGCCAAGTCTGCCAATCTCGAACGACGTACTGAAAAATCTGCCGAGCTGCAAGATCTCATCACTCAGGTATAACTATCTGCGTGTAATGCACAGCTTGTCTTCGTGCTTTATTACAATGGTGCTTTAATTAAATAGTTAATTATTCGCTACTAGGTACATGTTCACATGGAGAACAGTTTCGGTCGCTCGATCCTTTTTTTAATTTTTGAACATTTGAGGAAGGACGCACTATTTCACGTTTATTAAGAGCTGCAAAATAATTTGGAAACTCAAGTTCGAATGAGATTCAACAAAGTGTAAGATAATAAGTCGATAAAAAGTAAAGCTATAATAACACACAAATACAATAAAATAGCAAAGGAAAGTTAAAAAGGGGGTGGCGAAAGGAAAAATGTTAATAATTAATGTTAGAATGTGGGGAAAGAGAAAACTGGGATTAATCGTTGACATTTAATTCGTTTCTCGAAAGTAATTATTTAAAAATTTTTGGGAAATACGTAAGGTAAGAGGCTCTAGGTATCTTAAAAGGAGATAATTATCCATATCTTTATATCATGTCTGGTTATATGTATATAGATTTATATAATGCGCATGATCTCTTGTGAATCGGTCTAACACTGTATGATCTTCAGTTTTAGATAAAAGTGGAGCGTGGTAAGTAAGGACTGTTTCTGATTAATCGTTTACTCTGTTTTGAATTCCTAAACAGGTTACCTTCAGATGCAAGTCTTAGCACAGCTAAATGCAGCTCTCCGTCTTCTACCGCCGCACCGTCGCTGCTAGGAGAAGCAGTACCGTTGGACTTCAAAGGTTGCATCCTGTCGAAGCCGCACGTGAACGAGAACAACAATTTGACGAATGCCTGCGGAAGTATCTTAGGTGCGCTGAGGTCTCAGAACGGCCACGATCCCATCTCGAGGCTCTCGTCGTCAGAAAACAGCAAAAGCGAGAAAACCCAGATCGATGAGGCGCCGGTCGACGAGGACGATGTGGATGAGGAAGAGGAGGACTCGAGGGGCAGCGCGTCGAAGCCGTTGTTGTCGCCTATTCTCTCGGCACCTACCACCATCCGGTTTCCAGCGCGGGCACCCGAAAAAGACAGATCTGCGGATAGTGGAAACTGCCGCTGGGACAAGTGCGAAGTCAGCTTCGAATCTGTTAGCGGTCTTCTGGAACATTTACAGGTACACGGACGAACAATCTTTTTATTTGGTGCGTAACAGTTCACTTGCAAAACAGTTTCAATTCACTTGCTTTCGGGGCATTTCGAGACACGCATTCGACGTATCCATTGAGAAAACTTTTTTATGAGAAATTATTTCACGAGAATTGCTACACAGATTTTCTCATTGGACTTTGGCTTGGCGTTTCCAAGCGCGTTGAAGAAAACTTGTCCAAATTTGTCCCGCAAACGAGTGCGCTTTAAGCTTCAGTCAAGCGTTAACATCAAAGTTCTTTGTAATCATCATATATTATACGCATCAGGTTGTATTGCCTGCATTTAAAACGAAGCAGATGTGCACAATGTTCAATGGGAAAGAGAAGGAAATAGAAAGTGTTTACAAAACGGTTCAGAAAGTGCAGCTACAAGGAACAGACCTTATTTCCTAGGCCGAAATTCACTAATCTCTTCAATGTTTCCTTATTGTATGTATATATAATTATAATTACGTATGTAATTATGTATGACACAATATAATAAGATGTGTCAAGTGTTGCGTAAAATACGAATTGTAAAATAATACATTAGTCGAATAATCAGCATTCGCGTACGTATATATCCTAGACACGATGCAAACGACTGTAAGAAAAACTAGTGAATTTCGGACTAGTAAATAATTAAGGCTCTGTTGAAGCTTAGTCCCAGCTCCCAGTCGTGCGGAGAATGCCGCCATATTGATCGATTGTCGAGTCTCTCTTCGCACATTTTCCATTCCCATGCAAAATTAAGTGTATCTTTAACGAAATATATATATATATATATATTTATATAGGTATATATATATATATATATCATGTGGATATATTTAATATAAATATATAATAAAATTCTCCGATTTGCGTGCACGTGCACACACGAGTGATTCGATAAAATCTCATTCCGTCAGTTTGTGGTTAATAATTGGTAAAAAACGAAAACACAATACACGACATATACACATGATACAATTGTGTATATTATCGTCCTTTACAGTCCGCGCACATCAACACGCAAACCGGCGTCGATAACTTCGTCTGTCAGTGGCAAGGGTGCAAAGTACAAGGAAGGACTTCGTGTTCCCGACGATGGTTGGAAAGACACGTTCTGTCTCACGGTGGCAATAAACCTTTTCGATGTATCGTCGACGGCTGCGGCTGCAGATTCAGCTCGCAGGTACCTAGCCGCCATGCATGCGTTAAGCTCTTCGTATCCGAGAATTTCTAAATACTGACGGCGCATGCGCACGTGCTTTCTTTCACAGACTGCCCTGGAGAGGCATGTAAACGGCCACTTTAATCAGCCGGAAACGAACAGCAACAACGGAAGGCGTAGCTGCGAAAACGGCGGCAAGCTTGTTAGGAGAAACGGCAAAAAGCTCAGATATAGGCGACAACCTTGGTCTGGTGAGTAGCAGTGCTCTATTACGCATCTCGCCGACGATCGTTTCCTTTCCTTCTCATTCCTCGAGCTCGTTTCGCAGCATCAGTGTTGGTGGTACTCGTGCAAGCCCATTAGTTGTCCATTAGTTGTAACGAATTAGTTGTAACGAATAATTTATTGAATAATTCTTGCTGTTCTTTGCAGCGAGGGTTTTCGATTATTTTGACTCGGGAGTGATGGAACGTCTGCAGCACAGGCTATTGGAACTAGAGACATCGAGAACGCAGGGACGATTAGCTGAAACGCCAGGAAACTCGATGGCACTGACTAGTCAAGTAAGTTGCGGCGAATCGTCGTCACGCGTTTGCGCTTTAAAATAACATCGATTTTAACAGGTTTCCGCAGTAAAACTTCTTTTCCTTTTAGATTTTAATGAGGAGAGTCGAGATGGACGGTAAGACGAAGGTACTGCTACGGTGGTATCCCCAGAACATGTAAGTGTCTGTATAATAAAATTCGACCTCTGAAGGACGCACATTCACAAACTCCCGTGACTCACGCGCGTTTTCTGCATTTCTTTTTTTATAGAGTACCGGACGAATGGGTACTAGAATCCGAAGTACAAAGCATGAAGTACGTAGATATTCGCAACGTGGCCGTCAGTAACCCAGAAGAGGTGAGCTTAGCGCTCTATCCCGCGATAAGTGGCCACGCGCCATCGACGATGCGAGTGAAACAGCGCAGAAAACCGGTGAAGAACTCGTGATAATGTCGATCGACCGGATCCAGGACTGACTTAACGAGCGCATTAACACCTGAACCAGGAAAAACAAAATACTACTGACGTGTAGTACGGTCTATACGTTTCTTGGTCGGTGAAGACGAAGACCGCCGCAAGGTGCGAGCTGAAACCTGAATCTATCAAAAGAATGAGAGAGAGAAAGAGGGAGAGAGAGAGAGAGAGAGAGAGAGAAAGAGAGAAAGGGAGAGGACGACGAAGACCTTTGTAAGATAACTCATCTAATTTAGGAGGACGACCAATTTACACGGATCCAGATCGTTTAGCCGGCTAAAATAAGAATCGCAGTTGGTCTAGATCTCGCGAGAGAGAAAGAGATTATAATTTGGAACGAGCCGGGTGACACAATAACGATAAGAATAGGAAGACATACAGCTAGGAATATTTCAAGGAGAAAGAGAGAGAGAGAGAGAGAGAGAGAGAGAGAGACAAAATAAGTGAACGAGGAGGTTAGGATCATCCTAGTTAAATCCGTCTCCTGTTTGGAGTCGAGCGAGAGCCATTGCTGACCGCAACGAGGCATTTACTCTTCATCACTCGTCGATGGGTATGCACCAATGAGTTAATTGAATGCGAATCTCTATCACAAATATCTCGCGCACTATTCAAAGCTCATCGGCCTCGGAAGCGCTAAGTCTGGGCCTCAAAAGTGCCTCACCGTGAATACGTTTTGTACCGTCTTCCCGCCGATCAAGATCCAGGGAAGAGACAGCCGCGTGGTGGGAACGGTAACGATAGTCGAGGATTAAAAGGGCAAAAATATAAAAAAAGGAGACAAGGAAGGAGTACACAGTAAAAAGAAGCTTTCGCGTATGTCAACGTTTGGTTTTTGCCAAAGGAAACCAAGGGAGTGCACAGACAAAATGTTTAAGCGGTAGTTAACAATTATAAGGAGATAATCACTCTGGTGGCCTTAGGACTCAATTAATATCTAACATCGGCCCTTGGCACTTCCGGGGGAGCCGATAGAATTCTGGGGAACCCAATCGACAGGCAAAAACGAGATCTCCGACGATGTTTCGAGAAAGAGGAAAGAAGGAAAAGAAGTGAAAGGGAAGGGAAAGGGGAAGAGATGCGTCTACCTCGATTTACACCTCGGTAGAAATTCGCGTCGACTGTCGTACGAGAACACGAAGAGAGAGAGAGAGAGAGAGAGAGAGAGAGAGAGAGAGAGAGAGAGAGAGAAAGAGAGAGAGAGAGGAAGATAAAAGGAAAAAGGATCGCGTGGATAGCGTGAAGCGAAGAATGCATCAACAAATGGGAGAAAATATCCGGGTTGTAGGAGAAGGAGGTTGGATAAGAATGCGACAGTATGAGAGAACACAGAGAGAATGAGTATGAGAGCGAATGCAAGAGATATGTAGAGTATATTGCTTCAAACCCGCCGTTATTTCCCTGAATGGGGTTGACAGTCTCCCAGGCTGAGAGCTCGGCATGAAGTTGAAAGATCGTGGAATAATCGGACGACACGTAACGTCACCGAGATTTCTATCGAGAATTATGCCGTTCTGTTTTAGGACGGAGGTCTAATATATCTGTACAAAATGAAATTAAAGTAAAAAGATAGTTTCTCGAGGCTCGAGGCATGTCCGGGCGTAGAAAGAGGGAAACATGCGTCGGGCTTGCCTCGTTCCCGCACTTGAGAGATGTCCGATTTCTCGTGTACTCCATCGTCGCTTATTTTTATCTTTCTGCTGAGTCTCGCGCAGCGTGTTGGTGTACGCTCGTTGCCGACCTGGAAAGTCGGATTTCACGCCAATTTGTCATTTTTCGTTCTCTCGCGAATAACGAAAAATGTATTGAATCGCCAAAGGAGGGAAGCCAACACGCTGCACGACTATAAACTGACGAGCTGTTACCCTCAATAGGGGTAAATTACGAAGGCTGTGTTACATTTTTTCACAGGAGTTGTTAGGGGAACACTGAGAGAAAGAGAGCGGACAATGTTGTGCGGTGGCTTCGCTGCTTCCACGATGCTTCACACTCGCTGGTAGTCGTATCGCGGCTTGTAGAGAGAAAAAAAAAGGATAACGTGTAACTTTTACGACTATCTGCTGTGCTGCAGCGCGGAGAGCGACGCGCGCGCGCGCGTATATACATATGTAGCGGATAAAGATCTTTGTGTAAATTAAGTGGAGAAGAAGGTTACGTGTGCCGTGTCGATGTGTTGTTGCATGTATGTGTGTGTATGTTGTGTTGAGTAATCGAAGAGAGAGAGAGAGAGAGAGAGAGAGAGAGAGAGAGATAGAGAGAGAGAGAGAGAGAGAGAGAGAGAGAGAGAGAGAGAGAGATTAAAGTATGATTGAGACGAGAGAGATCGTGCTAACGATGGACGGAAATGTTATAGGACACACAGAAACGGAACGGACAGAGACGAAACGTCATGCATACACACCAGCTAAGAAACACTGCCAATATGAATGTAATTAAGAGCTCTGCGACAATTAATCGATTAATTATTCTTATTATTATTATAAAGGTACGATTAAGTGTATAACCGAATAGATCTCTAGCTGACGCGAGGATGGATGTGTAAGGGAGCGGCTGCGCCGAGAATGCGTCGTCGTCATGGTCATGGTCGTGTGATCGTTGCCTACACTCCGCGGAATGCGTGTTCCAACACGATGACAATTGTACTTTTCGAACGACCGCGCGCGCGCGCCAGAGAGAGAGAGAGAGAGAGAGAAAAGAGAGAGAGAGAGAGAGAGAATGTCCCGCGTCCGTATGTGGCTCTGCACGCGCGTGACGCTGCGCGTCGCGCGTGGCCGCGAGTATAAATGTAAATACTTAGTTGAAATTATCGTAATGAAACGGCATATACACACAATACCGTACTTGCAACTGCGAGCTTGCTCTCGTCACCGCTGGGGCAAGCTTCTTGTTGCGAGTATCCGAAAGCTATCTAAAGATGTATCTCTCTGTATCCGTTGATTTTCCAGCACATCGTTCCCGCGAGGATGACATACTACATGTGCGCGCGCGCGCGCGTGCACCGCACGCACACACACACACACACACACACACACACACACACACATCGCACGCTACATAACACAAGAACACACAAGACGCGCGAGTGCGGACACACTCGTATATTCAGCGACAAAGGTGACGGATCCTTGCTTCTTTACGGACGAATCGAGACCGACGACGGAAACGCATCACTGCCAAAATCACGCTCTGCCAGCTCCGTCTCGTTTTAACGGCGCGCCTCTAGCGTGTATTTGTCCCTATTTGCACGAACGTGCGTCCACATGTCGTGCTTCTAACGATCTTCGTCGATTTTCCCTTTGTTCGCATATACACGTACACACGCCGCACACACATATACACACATGACATGATATGCATTAACACACACGAACACGGCCTAGCCGCAACCACCGTTTCGTTCTTCGAATATATATTCTCTGAGTGTATATCGTCGTTCTTTTAGAAAAACTGACTGATTAACATTCGGTAAATAACGAAGGAAAAGCAATTTTTAGAAATTTAATTATAAACAAGTCTTTTTTGTTTTGTTTACGAACGCGTCTCAGTGATTCGCATCTCTCATTATTTATACGATATTCGTTTCATTTGTAGGCTCAAAGGGAAGAAATTTACACGATTCGCGTTGATTCTCTCTATAAGTAGATAATTTATTTCTAAGAAAGTCGATTTCGCAGATGTAAATGACTCCTTCCTCAAGACCGGCGATATCCTCTGAGCGCTCATGTGTCGCGCACTGCCAAACTTCGTCGAGCACGCAAAATTGAGGCACTGCCAACGAGATGTACAGAACGGGACGATCGTAGAAAGATAAAGGGGGATACGGGGACTCGTCGTTTTCTGCACTTGGACTTTTTTTTTTCTCCTCGCGCTGAGAATTCGCTTCGTGCGCTTTAAAACGAATGCGGGCTTTACCGAGACATCGCCTCAGTACCATACGAAGGCTTTCTCGTGAGAAGCTATCGCGCGTTCCTCGTAATCGACACGTCCCGCTTCCGAATGGAGACACAACGAATTGTAAAGATGAGATTTAGAAAACAAAGGACACGATGGTGTTAATTGCACACACAATATTACATAAAACATGTGTAATTTTTTGAAATGCATAAGTAACACAAAAATCCAGCAAACTTTTGTTAGTCAGAAGAATTTTCATACAAAAAGCGACACACACACACACACACACACACAATTAATATCTCTTCTACATTGTATCATTGTGTCGTTTCTCAGTTTATTATTTAGTTTAGATGTAAAAAATTAGATTTCTGAACTATATATCCTTGCTACACACATCTCAACTTTATATTTCGTCGTGTCTCCACTTTTTTATGTTCATCGCTTATTGTTATTCTTCGTGGCACGATCGTTTTCCGATAGTTACTATCTATCTTTTCACCTTTTCGACTACTCACTGTGAGATCTCTACTCGTGCGAATAGCATATTATCGCTGCTAGTCGAAATTGCGTCATTCAGATAAGGGACCAATTTTCTTACGTAAATGAAAACAGACTCGCTCCACCCGATTCATCATTCCGTGGTTGTGAGGTAGAAATTATTATTCCGCAAAAAAATACGTCTATTTTAAATGAGCAATTAAATAGACTTTGCTTCAAAATTTTTTGATTGATACATAAAGAATATTGCGCACCGAGTGGAGATTCTATTAGACGTTTAATTATATACTTTTGCACATTCTTTATTATTATTATTATTATTGTTATTATTATCGTAACATTTCTCACACGCGTAAAGGTGGAACGATAGAAAAAGAGCCTTCGGCCGCTCGATCGCGCTTGATCTCGTGGAATGGAAGAACCGCAATAAATAATAGAGGGAGAGAGATCAAAAGTACTTGGAAGGTCCTTCCAATTAATTATACAAACTATTTCTCACGACGTAAAGTAAAACTTGAGCGCATCAGCAATACGAAAATCACGTGAAAATAAAAAGGTACAAAATATAATTTAATTAAGTTTCGTGAGCTTTCGTGATTCTCGAACGAACGCGGTAGCACAATCGGCATTTTAGTAAAACCCGTGCGATAAATTAATTCGAGTTTATGCGAAATTTACGCGTACATGCGCTTAGATCGCTCGCTCACTGCAATTGCACGCGGCGAGTTTAATTCCGATATAAAGTATTCTCTATGCTAACGTATTCTCTTTGTGTTGTAATTAGTTGTGATTGAGATTTTATACTTTGCTCGCCAGTTGAAATCGGACGAACCGCATTTAGTTACAAGGTACATTTTTCTCCTTTCTTTTCTTTTTATTCCTCAGCACTCGATCGTCGGTCGGTTTTTTTTTTCCATTTCTTTTGCGTTTTACGCGTTCACATTCTCCAAATCGGCAGCGATGAGTAATCTTTCCTCTCTGTAAACACGATGAATGTTCAAAGAAGGATCACATAGACTTCGCCACGTAGCTGTAGCGTCTCGTATAAACTTTTACATTGTTTATATCGGCCTGCTGACAATTCTAAATTATTGATATAGGAACTTTTTTAATGTAAATGCGAAAGGGAGAGAGAGGGAGTGAGAGAGAGAGAGAGAGAGAGAGAGAGAGAGAGAGAGAGAGAGAGGGTGAGGGAGGACGAGAGAAAGGAAGAAATGTGATGGCAGGAATGGAAAAACCGAAAGATGGAAGTGGGCATGTGTGAAATCAACGTGGACGATTTGTATACGCTTTTTTAGTGCACGAAGTCCAACCCGAGACGGAAATGATCTAATTCCGTTTCTCTTCTGGTGTTCTTTTTTTATACATATATTCGTGCGTTTTTTGTAGAGTTAAACTTTAGTCCACGCGATGCTGCGCACTCAATAATGAATGTACATTTAAGGAAGAGAGGCGTAAAAGTGTTCTGTAATGTAATTAGGTTTGTATCGGCATTAGAAGAAGAGAGAAAAGAAAAGAAGGATGGAAAATATTTGTGAGAAGAAAACATGCGGGTACTCATTCTTTCTTTCCCATCGCATGTTTTTCGCAAAGAGCTTGCTGAAACACATATATATATATATACACATACACACACACACACATACACGTAAATATACATGTATATACTCGCCGTAGATTTACTTCCTTTTGACGGTGCGTGAACTTGCGTGTAAAAGAAAACGAGAGAAACCGTGATGAGCGTAATTAACATAGAACAAAGAAACGATGGGCGCGAAATGGATGAGAAACAAGATGAGAGAATGTATAACGAGGATATGTGAAAATGCGAACGATTAGAAATCGGAAATATTCGATGGGTCACCGTATTTTTGCAAAAAATTAGAGAAAAGCGTAGACGAGAGGAAGAATACGGAGGTGAAAGAAATTTTAGCTGTGAGATTCTCTTAAAATCACTGTACACTTGACGGCTGCTGTATTTTACCGGATAATTAATATTGCGTGAGCAGAGTGTATTTTTTTTCAGACAACGTCTTACGTCCTCTGATAAATTCACGTGAAAGTCCGAGTGAGATTCGTGCTCGCACTGGGTGGACTGCAAATTACTTAAACGTTTCATCCAAAATTGGCAGGAAGCAAAATCAACGAGAAAATACGAGAAGATATTTGGACGTAATTTCAGTTGTCGTGCAGTCACCGATTGTTATTTCCGTAAGTCCAAATTTTATTTGTCTCGAAATACATGTCCTCTAACAAGTGAACATCAAACGCGATTATATGTAAATATACATTGATAGCACATGGTGTCATTTACATATTAATTAATTGGTACTTATGTAAGAGTGGACGAAACGTCGATCAGTGTGGAATTTCGGAGCAATTTAGACAAATGGGGAAAAAAAATTTACCTCTACAAAAACACATACATATATATATGTACACGTATAGACTAGAGGATCTCACACGGCGTTGACGAAAGAAAGAACGAGTGAGAATTAAGGAGATCGCGCGACGTGAGAGGCTCGCGACGCGGCTTTCCAGTTTTCATTCGGGTCTCGAAAAGCGTACTACTACGCGACGTAAACTGTCGCGTAGAAGTTTACGTCGCAGTACTCTCTCTTGTAAATGTATAAAAGGATAACTAGCGCAACCGATCGAGAGAGCGGTCGCGTTAAATATTATTTTAGAACGGATAGCGGGAAAGGATCGAGAGGGCGGATCGAGAAACGTAATTTTCGTCGGTCGTTTCTTGCGTCTGCAGCTCCAAGTTGTAAATAATTGAGTGTAATGCGACATACAAAGACTCCTCTCCCGAGATATGTGCATAAGTATAGCTTATTACAGATATAGTGTTTGCATTTATTATAAATTCTATGTAAAAGCGTAACGAGAAGTCAAGCGATCGCGACGAGGGCCGCTTTTGAATTATGTTAGAATGATCGCCAATCCGCGTGGATCAGTATTATTATAGGTATGTTTTTTTTTTTTTTTAGTTGTTGATTCCTTTCGGGGAACTTAATGGAAATTTTTATATACTGCTATTACTATTACTACTACTACCACTACTACTACTACTACTACTACTATTACTACTACTACTACTACTACTACTACTACTACTACTACTACTACTACTACTACTACTACTACTACTACTGTTACTACTACTACTACTACTATTACTATTAATACTACTACTGCTGCTGCTACTGTTATTATTAATTACTACACTATTACTATTCAACTCGTTTACTTTATTTGGTCGCAACAAAGAAAGAGTAGGTTGTATGATTATTTTGCGCCATTGAATATTTCGACATAATTTGACATAACATGATTCGGGCCGCGACCCTGCGAGATCGCTTCGGTTAGAGAAATGCTTGTACTTGTATAAAAGTAGAAAAATATATTGCATAGTTTAAAGTACTATGATTTATAGTGTGTAGGGAAAATTTGATGTACGCGCACGGGAGACAACTGGGATGAAAACTGGCGAGCCGCACTTGATGATTCGATTCGATTCGATTCGATTCATAATTATCTTACGAGCCCTGTGGATTCATGGAAAGAGAAAAAAAGGAAACTACCTGTCACCCTCGCCGTCGATGAAGCGGCGAGAATCGGCCAGCGACCCCGACCACGAGGAGGAGTATCTTCCTCCATAAGCCAGATCTCTTTCTCGCGTGAAAGTGACTTTTGCTCGCTAGAAAACGACTTCTCGTCGCTTTGTCGAAATCGGTGCAGCGTTTCCCCAGTATATATCTGACACTCGACAAGACTTGATTTATTGCGTAACGTAGAGGAAACTGAAGACGTGGTTGTTTCGCACTGCCAAATAATAAGTAAGAAAAGAAAGAAGAACAACTTGCGTTCATTGTGTGGATCGACCGATCGTTGAAAGCACCGCCGGTGTTCATTAATCCACATAGTGGTTCTACAAGAAAAAAAATAAAAAAGAAAATGCAGAGTAATAGCTAAGAAACGCACGTGAGGAAAGCTTCGGCCCGTAGGAGCGAATGAGAGGCGAAAGAGAAATATCCGAGCGTCGAACAGTGCTTTGTCTTTTTGAATACTTTCATGTACAAACACGAATGACGATTTATAGCTCAAGAACAGAACATTAAAGAGATAGATATTGTAAGAAAATAATAATAATTTCACGGTTACGATATCGTACTCAGTTGTTGTTCCTTCATTCCTGATGTACACTGTAACGAATCACCACGGATAGGATATACTGAATATAAAATGGTTCCGTAAATACGGAAGCATGAAATTTATAATAAACGCGCGCTTGTTATATACACTACCAAAAGTTTTTTACCAAAAGCTTTGCTGTTGTAATCTCTCAAAATGACTCCGAACGAAATATCAAACCGACGGCATCGGGATACAAAAAGTTCCGATAATGCCTATCCATTTCCAATTAGGATATTTCACATCGTATTTACATATTTTTATAACATGATTGTTGTTTTTGAGAAGAATCGGTAACCTTTATGTAGTTACCTTTATGACACTAGTAATTGTGTATACATTGTAATTGTGTTATATACAGTATAATTGTGAATGCATTAGGACATTCAATATTCGTTAGAATCCGATATTATTTGGATACTCAATTATTCAAACAACGTATAAATGTGACGCTTTAGGTTCGGATTAATCAGAGAATAGTTGAAACACAGAGTCTGAAAATCCGAATTAAGTAGCAGAAAGTATCCGAAAGTAAGTAGCAGAATCAGGTAGACACACACACACACACATAGACATTCGTAGTAATTTAGATCCCTTTCGAAAATTATACAATTAATAAATCAATATTTTCTACAGCAGCTTGATGGTTTAACGTAAGAGAATTGTTTATTCATGTATCTGAATAATAATTATCACGGATATTTCATTATTTTTATATAATTTTTTTTTCTTTTTTCATATTTGAATCCAAATTCGGATCTGAATTTAGTTCTGAATCAAATATTCTTGTAATTTGAACTTAAGCAATATAATTAACAAATAATTCGGATTATCAGGATTATCTGAAATATAGTTTTGAATTTGAGGATTGAAACCAATCTTGGATATTTGGATAATTATTAAGTTAATCCATAAATTTATGCAAACAATTTATTTGGTATCTATATGTTAATATTAGGAAGATAATTTCATACAGTTGACCATTTATATACATGTTTTGATAGCTGACATTTCAGTGCATACTTATGATAAGTGATAATATATAAGAAAAAAGTTGTTTTGTTGCAACTTGAAAAAGGAACATATAGTTTTTCCAGTATATTGTTTTCTATTTCCATAAAGGAAAGAATGCAACGGAAATATATAAGGTATGTATTATATACAGGGAGAATGTTGTAAATGGACATATGCGCGTGTTACAAGTTTGACGGATCATTGTACATCCTTTATATTTCTAAGCTATCCATTCACATTCTGAGTTCATACAGAAAACATCTTCGTTTCACAAAAGAAATATTGCTGAATGCTTTAAAATGACCTCTTTACATTCTTCTTAATTAATTCTCTAGAATCTCATAGTACACAATTTCCTTCATTTCATTATTCAATATCACATATTTATCTTAGTTTTACAAGTTACCCGCTTTCTTATAAAAGGAATCACCGTTTTCATATGGCTGTATGCTGTTTCATGTAGCGCATGTGGCCGTGTGGAAATTTGACGACCAACACTGTATGATGAGTGGCTTGGAGCTAGGAGTCGACGTTGTCGCAAGCGGGTACAGTCCATTCTCCAGTAAGATATGGCCTCTCCCCATATCGGAAAATACCGAGTGCATGAAACACACGTGTTATTTCCTGAGCTTCTTACGAACTCCATCAGCATTTTTCCTATACATAACAACGCGTTCCATCGCAACAGCTTGTGCATTTGGCACGACAGATCCTGACTCTCTTGCACGTTGAATACACCGCAAAAATACCACATGGCAAGGATGTTG